AAAAAATATATATATGTATGTATATATATATATATAAATATATATATATATATATATATATAAAACAAAAAAAACTTTTTTGTTATATACATTTTTGTTATATATAACAAAAAATTATAACAAAAATATAAAAATAACAAAAAAATTCTTAAAAAATATTTTTTGTTAAGAATATTTTTGTTATATATATATATATATATATATATATATATATATATATAATATTTTTTTATATATATATATTTATATTTTTTGTTATAATTTTTGTTTTATATATATATATATATATATATATATATATATATATATATTTTTTTTTTTTATATATATATATAGAAGCAAAAATTAAAAAAAAAATAATATATACATATATATTATACATATATATATAAAAAACAAAAATATATAACAAAAATCTGTCATAGTATGAGCAGACAGAGAGATTGAAATAAAAGAGTATTGCCCTTTCATGAATTTTTACAAACTAAATATCTCCCTGATCATATTGTAAATGTGTATATTGCATGATAAGAAAAATCTGAATGGTGTATTCATGCATGAGAAACCGCATCTGCAATACAAGCATGATGATCACTGACATCACATCACATATTAGACATCACGAATCTCCAATAATGAAGGCAGGCCTCAGTCATCAGCCTGAGATGCTGACCAGTGCATGCATGAGGGAATAAAACCACCAAACACTGCAAATGCATGAATTAAACACAAAAATAGAGCAAAAGCATGAAGTAAACACATGAAACACAGCACATGCATGAAGACAGAGAGGCTGAGGCCTGTGCGCATCTGCAGGACAGCGCGAACACTGAAGCACCAAGTTCATCAGTGAATGCACCAACAGAAAGGAGGATCTCCGCATGATCGAGTTTCACAAAGCATCGTGCTCAAAGATGCATTAAAAACCCCGCAGAGACACTCACCGACGGATCTGTAGCCCAGGACGGCGATCTTTCGCGATTTCGGCTGCGGCATCTTTATTTACTCCCTACCGCATCAACATCCACATGTACCACAAATCCACACCAAAAAAACAGCGAAATCACATGGATTTGAGCCGGTATTGCGCGTCTACGTGCTGAAGACTGGTGTAAGAATTAATACTAAATCCGTTCCTCCGAATGAAGCGATTTTGAGTGATAAATTACGAGGAAAGTCTCAGACTCTGCGTCACTGCCCACCGCAAGCCTGCGTTAATTATGCAAGGATGAGCGCGCGGGATTGGCTGAGCGCGGCCTGGAAGGCGGGAGCTGTCGCTTTTAATCGTGCAACTATTGGCTGAGCGCTTCTAAAGTGCTGTAGAAGAGCGAATGTGATTGGATGAGTGCTTGTCAATGAGAAAACGCCGGATTAAACACGCAGTCATGCGTTTGTAGCAATGGTTTGTAGATTTGAGAGTTGAAAGATTGCTGACAACAAAAATACGTGCCACGGATGTGGATCAATTGTACTAAAGTTTTTTTTTCCTTTTTATAACAATTACATGTACATGTGGTTGCATGCATTTAATATATGTATATATTTTTATTTTGTGGCATTGATTTATTACATTAAAAACTCACAAAGAAATAAAAACAAGTTATATTTTTATCTATTTAAGCTTTTTTTTGATTGATTACAAAAACAATTTATTCTGGTAAATTAGTTTTACTTATAATTAATTACATATAATTAATGAATAGAAAACAACAAATATCAGTGTTATCGCGAATAGGCGTTTCGTCCCACATGGACAAATACTGTAGTCCTTTATAGTAAATGCTAGTGCTTTTGAACAATACTAAAATAGGCCTATTTGAATTAATCTGTTGTGATAATACACAACAACTATAGTAAAATAACCTATACAAATGACCCAATACTGTAGTTTTCCGCATTTACAGTATATTATATTGCAATACACCACAGTTTACTTCAGTAAAATTTTAAGTTAACTACAGTATTACAGTTTATCAGTTCACTATAGTTCGTATGCTGGAGCATTCATTAACAAAGAGCTGTAAATAATATACGTAAATGCACTTTACGATGATATTTATTATAAATTTTACTTTTTTTACTAGCCGGGCTTCCAGCTAACTCTATCAAACCTCTTCAGCTGCTCCAGAACGCAGCAGCATGAGTGATCTTTAATGAAGCTAAAAGAGCACATGTCACTCCGCTGCTCATCCGTTTGCACTGGCTGCCAGTTGCTGCTCGCATCAAATTCAAAGCTCTGATGTTTGCCTACAAAACGACTTCTGGCTTTGCTCCTTCTTATCTGCTCTCACTTCTGCAGATGTATGTGTCCTCCAGAAACTTGCGTTCTGTGAATGAACGTCGCCTCGTGTTTCCATCCCAAAGAGGGAAGAAATCACTTTCCCGAACTCTCGCATTCAATCTGCCCAGTTGATGGAATGAACTCCCTAACTGCATCAGAGCGGCAGAGTCACTCGCTGTCTTCAAGAATAGACTAAAAACTCAATTATTTAGTCTCCACTACACTTCCTAATCTGCAATTGCCTCTCTGGATATACCACTAACTGTACTCAAAAAAACAAAAAAAAAGAAAATGACTAACGCTTTCCTTCTTAGACTTTACAGACCTGAAACTTGCCTACAGCACTTATTCATTGTTGCTCTTATAGTTGTGTAAATTGCTTCATTGTCCTCATTTGTAAGTCGCTTTGGATAAAAGCATCTGCTAAATGACTAAATGTAAATGTAAATTGCTATAGATTTTTTTTGAAGTTCACATTTTATTAACTTTTTTTATGATTGTTATTTTTTTTATTCGTTTATGTACATGACTATCGCAGATTTCTAAAATAGAAATGTACTGTATGCGTAAGGAATTATAGTTTTCGAAATGTAAACATGAACTAGTTAATTTTTTTAATAGTTAAAAAGTTTCAAGAATGATCCAGCACTATTCTCTGAAGTAGGTCTACATTTTAAGTGATATGTTAAATATAAATTCTTATTGCTGTTTAAACTCCTCGTGGACCAACAATCAAGCTTTTAATTTTTCATATTCAAAAAGCCCTGCACTAACTGATTATAACCATCCCATGTGTTTCTGATAATAGTTTTTTTATTTCTCCTATTGATTACTAGTAATAATTCTATTGATAGTTCTGTTTTATTCCTTTGTGTAAAACCTTGTTCTTATTCATTCATTCATTCCTTCATTCATTCATTCATTCATTCATTCATTCTCTTTTCAGCTTAGTCCCTTTATTAAGCTGGGGTCACCAGTGGAATGAATCGCCAACTTATCCAGCATATGTTTCCAGCTGCAACCCATTACTGGGAAACACCCATACACTGCCATTCACACACATGCACTATGGACAATTTAGTTTACCCAGTTCCCCTATAGCGCATGTGTTTAAACTCTTTTGGAAACCGGAGCACCCTGAGCAAACTCACACAAACGAAGGGAGAACATGCAAACTCCACACAGAAACGCCAACTGACCCAGCCGGGACTCGAACCAGTGACCTTCTTGCTGTAAGGCGACAGCGCTACCCCCTACGCCTCCACGCTGCCGATTGTTATAATTATTATTATTATTATTATTATTGTTAATAATATTATAACCATTGTGCATGAAATCCTTTTGCCTTTATTTATTTATTTATTCATTATTTCATCTGCCCTGCAAAAGACCATAACAATAAAATAAAATAAATGAAATACAAAAAAATTTAAATAAATAAACATGAAAAAATTTATTTTAAAATTGAATTTAAAACAGGTTTAATTCTTTTCTATGTATTTTATAGTACATCTATTTGTTAATGAATGCTGCAGCAATACTGTAGTATTAACTTTAGTGAACTGACAAATTTTAGAATCCATAGAATCTGTAGAATCACCACAACAGATCAATTACTGTAGATCTTGTGTTACCATAGAAACTGTATAATCACCACAGCAGATTAATTAAATTACTTCACCACAGCATGGTTAGAAAACACTGCAGTGTTTACTGTAGGGTTTTTCATGTGGATGAGTTTAAAACTCTATAGAGCGTGTTTAAACCCGTATTGAACATCCTCTTGTTGTGATCAGAAAATTCATAATATTAGATGCAAGCGTTTTTGTGCGGATAGAACCAAATGGTTCCAGAAAATGTAAACTGAAACACAATGTTTGAGTGATTAGGCTGCAGTGAAATATCTTTACTGTATGATCATAGGATCTTACATGGTACATCATTATGAAACTCAAAAGTGAGCAGGCTACAATTGAGAACTAGAAATAATATTATCCATAACATCAACTCACAACATAACATTTTTGTGGAATTGAAAATAAATCTGTATGAGAATAGATGTAAAGATCGTAAAGCAGTATAATTGGCAAGGAAAGCTGCATGCTTTAGTACACACTCTTAAAATGGAAGATTTTTTATTGGAATTAATATTAAAAAGCATCCATAGATATTGTTGTTTAAGGTGTCAAGATCAGGGCCGGAGTGGGACTCCTTTTCAGCCTTGGAGTTTCAAGCTTCAGACCGGCCCACCTCAGTTCACGACTGACTACTGTATATTAAAATAAGGTCATTTCCAATTCAGTTTCTAATGACACTATCACGTCTTTTTTTGAGAAAACAGCTGCTTTAGAACTTCAAATGTCCAACAACCCTTACAGTATTATATGTCTTAACAATAAAAATGAAAACATTACATTAATCTTACGAGGATCAAACCCGGGCCCGCAGAGTCTTAACCTAACGTGCTAACCACTGGACCACAACAGCTGTATGGAGTAAGGAGACACAACTAAGTTTCATCATCATTAAAATAGATTAAAAAAAAGAAGAGTTGCGATAAAATAATGAATAAAAAGGCTGTGGTCAAGTAAATATATAAATTTAAAAAGTGTGACTGCTGAGAGCAACAGATTCTGGAGCTAGGGACACCGGCCCTCGCGGCCAAAAAACGGACCGGCCCACCGGGAATTCTCCCGGTCCTCCCGATTAGCCAATCCGGGCCTGGTCAAGATTGTTAGATTATCAAAATGTTCTTTGCATTAACAAAAATGTATTTTTTAAAGAACCATTCTTTTAGGAATCTTCTTCTTTGGCATTGCTTTAAAAACCTCATGTTAGATCCTTCATTTAAAGAGTGCATTACAACGAGCATTTCAAAGTACACAGCATGCCTCAAAGGTGTCACTCAGTGATGGCAGCAGTGGATGAACACTGAGGGCTGATTTTATTCAGCTCCTCCATGATAGAATTGGACTTCTTAGCCCTTTCTTGTGGTGAGAGTGAAGACGGATTGATCTCCAGGAATTTATATGCATCTTTGGACTGAATCATGAAGATGGCCTGAACTCTCTGACAGCTGCAGCCAAATATTTTCCAGTACTGAAAAAGTAAAAACAAAAAGATACATTTACTGTCACTATGTATTGTAATAAAACAGCTTGTTTTGAAAGTTGATAGATGAGTTGATAGTTGTAAGATCACAGTGCAAAAATCTGAAAACCCACATGAATAGGTTATGAAAATTGAATGGTGGTAATTAGATAATAACATGAATTAGCAAAATAATAATAACAGTAGTAATATTTAATAATAGCTAAAACTGTTACTTTGTGAAGCAGTAAAATAAATGGGGCCCTTGGGTTTGCTATAGCCCCAGGGCCCAGTTTGTGTTCTTATTCTGGTCCTGCTCCAGGTACTCCTTTGAGAACTGGACCAAAAAAGTAATGTCCACCCCTGTACTCAGACATCTGATACACATACTTAATGCCTCGTTTCCACTGACTGGTACAGTATGGTACGGTTCGGGTCGGTATGGGTCACCTTTACCAGGCTTGCGTTTCCACCACAAAGGGTATCCTTTTGGTGGGTGTGATGTTTGACAAAGTTTAAGTCGACGTCATGCTCGCTCGAATAAATGTCTACAGTAAAGCTGTACGGGTCGTTCACATATCATAATGAGCAGCACTTCACACAAAACAGATGCTTTACACACATAAATACTTGTTTATAAATGTTCATTATTATGAACATGAGTTGATTATAACTGCAGATCAACGACAGTGAGAAATAGCCTACTGTAACGTCTGTAATTATATAAAATAAATATATAAATGCAACATATATGAACACATACAGCCTCTCACAGTCTCGGATACATTATTAATTACAGATAAACTACACAGCAGAC